GAGAGAGAGAGAGAGAGAGAGAGAGAGAGAGAGAGAGGGAGAGAGAGAGTCAGTCCTTGGAGGCCAGAAGAGGGCCTTGGATCCCATAAAGCTAAAGTTATAGTTGGTTGTGAATTTTTCAGTGTCAGTGCTGGGAACTGAACTCAGGTCCTCTGCAAGACCAGCAAGTGCTCTTAACTGCGGAGCCATCGTTCCAGCCCAAAAATCTCCTATTATTCTTTGTGCATTTTGTCTTTTTTTTTGAGATGGGGCATTTGTGTATCCCCCTGGCCATGTAGACCAGGGTAGTCTTGACCAGGCTAGCCTTGATATTACAGAGATCAGTCTGCCTCTGCTTCCTGAGTCAAGACTGAAGGTGTGCACCACCATGCCCTGCCCATGTCATTCTTATTATAGGGACTTTGTGATGATTTCCTCAGCTTTTTCCTGGAAGCAGATGTAGTAAAACTGACAGGTATCAAGCATATTCATTTTTCTTTTTAATTAGACAAACACTTTCCAAAATGTGTATGACTTGTATAACTGTTGAAACTTAAAAAAAATAAAGTAGGAAACTATTCTTTAAAACATATAGGAAAAGATTGACCATGACTTGTAGACTGTGAAGTAAGCTGCTTTCTTAAATATGAAAAATCTTTCAGGATTTCTCAATGCTGTACTTTCCATAAAGCACTGCTGTTACATGAAATGGTGTTTCATGTGTGAAGCTAGCACTAATCAGCTACATCCAAAGGGAGGAAGTATCTCTAAGAACGTTCCTTTAGAACGAGCCCTTTTGTTGCTGCCGTGGACCTGTATCTCCCCAGAGGGAGCAGGAGGCTCTGCAATTGGCAGTTGGCCATGGGCACTCCTCCCACATGATTTCAATAGGCTGCTGGCTTTTTTTTTTTTAAGTATTTTTTTCATCATTCTAAGAATTTCCAAAGAAAAGGATAACCACGTTATATTTTATTGTGATTTTTAGAATAATTTTACAGATGTAAAGAAGAGAAGGGCAAGTTGCCCCAGTTCTGTCTGCCTCCTAGATCTCAAAGGCTTATGGTCTGACTCCTCACTTGGGACTTTGCTGGGGAAGATGGCCAAGGCCTTCTCCAGCTTCAGCCCTGGGAAGCCCCTGTGTCTTCCAGAGGAAGGGTTGCCTGGAGCTTCTCTCCAGAGAGGACAGCTGGTGCCAGTGGTGGTGGGTGAACAGCTGTGAGCAATGAGCACTGAGAGCAGAACCCAGGCAGCCTTGGACCAGGGCACTGCCTACGTCAGAGATCACTGAACTTACTCTGGCTGCCTTAAGTGAGAAAATGTCATTAATCTTTACTTAAATTTCACAATATCTTTTTTTTGTTTTGTTTTTTCAATTTTTGTTCAGCTTTATTTTCCTAGCTTTACACAGAAATGATTAGATCCAAATTTACTTTTTAAGCTTTGCATGCAACATTTATTTTTAAAAATTTTAATAACTACATGATTAGAAGAAGCATTTCATTACAGCTTTAACTTATTCAGTAACACACTCCAGAGCAAGAGTACATTTCTTTCACAAGTGGTTGTAAGTTTCTAGGTTCACAGTTGAATTAATAGTTATACAGCATATTGAACTCAGTATAAGCCCTGTAAGACATAAAATTGAATGAGTTTTTAACCTTTAAAAAAGATCTCCATTTCATTTTAAAATATACTG